TCCCGCTGGCCGCGCCGCGGGGCATCGCCTGCCCCCGCACACAGCTTGCTCCCCTGGGATCCGGCGCCCCGGGCCCTGATCTACCCCGCAACCCGGGCCGTTCCCCGCCCCAGGCACCCTGAACCCCAGGAACCTACACTCCTGCTCATCTCCCTCCTGGGAATCTACACCACGGTGGTTCTGTACCATGGGCTCTGCTCTGTCCTGGGGACCAGCATCCTGTGCTATCCCCTCTTGGGGACCCTGCATCCCGGGGACCTCACATGGAGCAACCCAGACTCCCCGGCTCTCCGTGTCCTCCTCCACCCTGGGGACACAACACACTTGAGAACCTGATGCCCTCAGTTCCCCTCAGCTTCCAGTCCCTGTGCCCTGAGGTTCCTCTGCAAGGACACAGCACCATGGGCTCTGCCCCATACACCCAGCCGTGCCCTTGCTGCTGTGCAAGGCATCAGTGGGTGCAGCCGTTGTGGGAGCTCTTTTGCTGCCCACCTGCTCCTCCATCCCCGTAGCTCCCAAAACCCTGGTCCCCTCAGGACCCTGCCAGGCTGTGCACGACGGTACCTCCTCTAGGAAGCTTTGCCTCTGTGTGAACCCACAAAGTCGTTTTCCCACTGCCCCATGCAGGGCTCTGTGGGTGCTCCCAGCTGGGTCTTCATGCTTCTACCAGGGCAGGCAGCAACGCCCTGCCCCATGCTGCCTCTTTTTGAACCCCCGACACTGTCCACATCCCAGGCCAGAACTGCACCGAAGGGGTCTTTATGCCAGAGCAGCAGCGGGGTAGCATACAGGACCTTATTCCTGCAGGTCAGGACTGATGCTGGTGTGACCCTTCCCAAACCAAGCCCTTCAGAGTGTCCTGTGGATGAGCCCCTCAAGCTCAGTGGGACACAGGATGGGATGCCATGGGCCCTGCCTGTGCTGCCTGCTCCCCCCACAATGCACACCCTCCTTGCACCAGCATTTCCGAGCCAGGCCAGAGCCGGAGCCTCCCTAAAAGGCTACAAAAGTTCGTGAGCAGCTGCAGAGCAGCTGCCGGGGCCAGTGCGGGGGCCAAGGCCACAGCAGGCGCCCCACGAGCAGCTCAGCTGGCTTTGGGGGTGGATGTGGTGGGACCCCGCTTGGGGATATGCTGGGAGCTCTAAGCCCGCTGCCACCAGGCTTTGTTCTCGGAGCAGCGCGGCTGCAGCCCCACCCCAGGCTCCACCTCCGCAGCCCACCCGAGACCCTCCTTCCGCTGCCTGTGCACAAGCTCCTCACATGGTGCGCAGAGCCGGCAGGCAAGAGCTGCTCTCAGCAAAGCACCGAGGCACTTTGGGTGGTAGAGACGTCATCAGTAGGGACCAGAGGCAACAGGGTGCCAGAAGGGGCCAAGCCCTCAACGGGTACGAGGGAGATGCTCATCTCTCAAGCCGGCTGTGGCACCGTGGCTCTGCCCTGGCCCCACTCCAGGGCCGGGTACCCTGGGGCTGAGCTGGCACAACCTGTTCCCAGGCTGTGCTACCCCATCAGGCTCCGTCCCGCACCGCTGCCTCCCGCTGCCCCTGCCCTGCTCTCCGCTCACTGGTTGCTGTCCTGAGCCAGGGCTGGCTGGGTGGCTGCCCACGTGGGGCCACAGCCACCTCACCTTCCCCTGACCTTGCTGGGACTCACGCTCGGGCACTCACCACATCCCTGCTCGTCCTGGTCCTGCCAGGCAGGCACCGGTTGTTTCTGTTCCTTTTTGTAGCCGTGTCCTACTGCTCCTTGGCGTGACCGTCCCACCACCCATATGTGCCCCAGCCCAAGCATCTCGTCCAGCTTCAGCCTGCCTCCATCACTCCCACTTTCCCCTCCCCATCTTTGATGGGTTTTGCACGCCTGCAGCTGGCACTGAGGAGATGTGGCACCACAGCTGCAGGCCCGTTCTGGGTGGTGGCAGGAGCCATTTGGCTTCCCACAGCCAGCTCCTGCTCCCGGCAGAACCTTCCAGTAGATTAGCAAGACAATTTTCCTTGCAATTGCTCATCATGGTAAGAGCTGCAATTATTAATGACCGTTCCAGCTGCCAGAGCGGGAGGAGCAGCTCTTCCCCACACCCACTGCCCCGGAGCCCTTTCCAGTCGGAGGGGATGGCGCAGCTTCGCACCCGTCCTTGGGGACGGCAGCTGCATCGCATGAGCGAACGCTTGGCTGCTTTACGCCGGAGCACACCCAGCGCTGGTGCACGTGGCCCAGGCGTGTCCCGTGACTTCTCGTTCCCAGGGCACAGCTGGGACATGGGGTGGCTGCCAGGTAAGTGGGGACCTCGCTGCAGGGTTGCACACCTGCCCCATTTCCCCTTACTACAGCTTTGCCCCCCGGATCAATTACTGCCTCTGGAGGACCCAGGCGACACGAGGGGTCCAGCCCAAGCTGACACAGGCAGAGGAGGAGAAATTCAAGGCAAAGATTTCCCCTGGAAAGCCGGAGGGAGCTGAGTCAGGCCACGGCAGGGAGCAGGGCGAGGGCTGAGCATGACCTTCCCAGTGGCCACACCTTGCTCAGCAAAACCACAGGCCCCAGGACAGCCGGCACTTGCAGAAAAGTGTTTATTAAAGGCACTAAAAGCACCGTGGCTACATCAGCAGCAGCCCAACCGGAGAGTGTGGGTTTGGGAGAGGCATTTACAGGCCTGGGACAGCAGTGGCAGGCACTCTTTGGTAGAAAGCTGTTCCCAAGCCTTGTGGGAGGCCACTGGCCACTCATGGTGGCTGAGGTGGGCCTGGCACGTTGCCCTGCTCCCTGGCACGGCCAGGCTAGGGGTGCTGCTGCATACCGGCCCCGGGAGAGCAGCAGGCCAGCTGGGTGGGGGGACAAGAGGCCCAGACGCCTCCCAACATGCAGCCAGGGTATCGAAGCCACCAGAGCAGTTTACAGGGTGGCTGGGGGTTGCAGTAGGCAGGGCCCCAGCATGGGAGTAGGACCAGGTCTCCAACCCCATGCATGAAGCAAACAGCAGGGTAAGGGCGGGAAGAGCATAGCAGGGAGCTGGAGGGCTGGTCCTTGCCTGCTCCAGGGGGTGCTAGGAGCATCCCTGCCCTGGCACTGAGCTGCCAGGCAGCTGGGCCCCAGCTGTGCCAGACTCTCCCTGACTCCATCCTCGGCACAGCCATGGTCACAGCCACCATGCTGCATGGCTCGGGGGCAGGAAACCCACGCAGTGTCCCCTTCCTGGGGCTCTTAGGGCCAGCCAGGGGCCACAGAGATGACACAGCTGTAAGGGGCTCCAGGCCCAGCATCACCTCAGGCTGGAGCTGGGCCAGGAGCTGTCAAGACAGATGCAGGAGCAAGGGGAAGGTGTGAGGGCCCAGGCTGGCTCCCTGGGGGCAGCAAGGGAGGGGGGAGAGGAGCATGCAGGGCCAGGGGCACACGTGGGCACAGCTGAACTCCCATCCCTCACACGTGGGAGAAAGCGTGGCTCTTGCAGAGCGGCTTGTCCTTCTTGGAGTAGAACGTCTTCCCTTCCAGGTTGGTCTGGCAGATCTGGGGAGGAGAGCGCAGGCAGTGAGGCCAGGGTGGCTGACCCAGCCCCTGGGTCCCCCCATGCCACAACCCCGATGTCAGGGAGCAGCAGACTCAGAGCTGGGGCCTGAGCCACTGGCGCAGAGCCAAGCGGGGAAAAGCTGGCGGCAGCAGGGACCCCACGCTGCTGGTAAACCCCATGCAGGCCCAGAGGGAGCCACGGCCCCCACCAGCAGCTGTGGGAGGGAGGCACATGGCTCACCGCACAGACGAAGCAAGTGTCGTGCCAGCTGAACCCCAGCGCCTCCAGGAACCGGTCCCCAGCATCAATCTTGAAGTCGCAGCCGCGGCACTTGGTGCCAAACATCTTCTCGTAGTCTGAGGAGAAGCAGAGCTCAGGTCAGTGTTCCCCTTCCTCCCGGCTGCAGCACAGCCTCGATCCCAGAGCCACAGCCTGGGGACAACTCACTGCCAGCCCCAGGGGAAGATGCCTGCGCCGTGCAGGGTGGCCCCTGCTGCCACTGGGCCGCAGGGAGGCGGCAAACCCCATCTCCCAGAATGCAGCACTCGCCTTTGATGTACATCCTCTGCCATTGCCATGGCAACACGGGAGGATGGCGCTACCCAGCACCCGGGAGGACCAGGATGGAGGGCTCAGGGCCGCAGGAGGGGGGTCCCTGCCTCCCTCATGGCCTGGAGAGAGCCCCGCAGGACAGAGCAGCTCACCCCCCACCCCCATGGGCAGGTGCTGAGCCCCAGCAGTGGCCGATGTCCTTGGGCCGCGCGGGGCAGCACAGGGTGTCCTTGGGTCCTACCTCTCTCGCAGTAGGGCTGTCCCTCCTCCATGTAGAAGGCACGGTTGCGGATGGGAGTTTTGCAGGCTGCACAGGTGAAGCACTGCACGTGCCAGGTCATCTTCAGGGCGTGCATGACCTCCTGGAGGGGAACTGTTGTCAGCCAGGGACAGGACCACCCTGCGTCACAGGGGACCCCCTCCCAGGGCAGAAAGGGACAAAGGTTCTCTGGGGATCAGATGAGGACGGGAAGGGACAGAGCTGGGAAGCCATAGGAGTAGGGAGCAGGGACAGGAGGTGCAGGGCAGGCTGAGGGACACTCACCCCAGTGATCTTCTTCTTGCATTTGGCACAGCTGGGCGCATAGCGCGTGTCGTAGCACTTGGGGCAGAAGATGGAGCCTTTCTCCTCGAAGAAGCCACCCTCATCCAGCACCTTCCTGCACTGGCAGCAGGTGAACTCCTCGGGGTGGTAATAATGCCCCAGTGCCACCAGGTAGCGTCCCCTGCAGCAGGACACAGCCACGTCAGCCAAGACGGGGCCCGGATGCTGGAGTGGCCGCGGGTGGGGTCCGCCGGCACTTCGCGCCGATGC